GGGTCGCCGGCCCCAAGCGGAATCTCAGCCGCCGCCGCCCGGCCCCTTAGCGTGTGCAGCCGGCCGCCTCCCGACTGCTCCAGCCTCACCCAACTCACTTTTTTACTTAATTTCGGTTGTTTTGACCCGAACAGCCGACGGCTTTGGAGGCCCCGCTGCGTCCCGGGTGTTGAGCGGGCTGCAGAGGGGCCGACGGTCCGGGGCGGAGCGGGCGGCGATCGCTGGCCCCGTCTGTGCAGGGCTGGGAGGACGCGCGGGGCGACTCACCCGCGTCTCTAATGCCCGGGCCCGTTCTATTTCTAAAAATTGTTTGTGGACGAAAAATACGGTTCCGTAAGACGAGGAACCCCCTCTCAAAGGTCGTTTGCATTCTAAAACATTCCATTAGATTGTGACTTTAGAAGCTCATCGAAACATTGAGATAAGTGAACTGTCTCATTGATCCACGTGAGGTCCAGATATTAGTTATTCGGTAAGTGGTCTGGACCGCTGCAGGAGACGATTAGGTTGAGGAACAGAGTAGTTCTTCCCCGCCTCCCCTCTGTGAAATTACTCTATTAAAAGCCTAAATATTTTTTCAGGATCCTGGCGATGCGGCACAGCACGAGGCAAAGCACAGGTATGGGCTGGAAACCTCAACTTTTTGAAGGGTTGGTCTCGCGGGATGGATTTTGTTGTTGTTGTTGTTGCTTTAGTTGTCAAAAGTTTTTCCTGGCACAGTGATTGTTCCATAAATCATCATCGGTAGAGTATCTTTGTTATTAGTTTGCTGGCTGAATAAATACATAGCCCCATTGCATACCTCGTATTGCAATTACTGGTGGGTGTTTCTCTGCTGAACTGTGATTACCTTAAAATGAACATCGTGATAGAACTGTCTGTTAGGAATATCTTGCAGGGATTACACGAGTGTAGTGCCCACACTTAGTAAGCACCCAAATACTAGCTTCTACCATTGCTATTCTGTCCCAGCATATGTCCGAGCACTTAGTATAGTTGAAGTTAACTCATCCAAGGGCAGGCTTATTGAATGAGTATCTGATTACTCCATTATGCAATCACTTTTAAATTGTGGTGAAAGATATGTGTGTGTGTGTGTGTGTATATATATGTATATATACACACACAGTCTACCATCTCAACTATTTTTAAGTTCAGTGGTGTTCACCATCTTTATATGATTGTGGAACAACTCTAGAATTTATTCATTTTGCAAAACTGAAACCCTCTACCTACTGAACAATTCCCTATGTCCCCTTCCTCCTCTCATGCTACCTTGTTTATTTTTTTTTTAACAGAGATAGAGTCTTACTCTTTTGCCCAGGAAATTCCTGGGCTCACGTAGTCCACCTGCCTTAGTCTTCCAAGTATCCAGGACTACAGGTGTGCGTCACCACACCCAGCTAATTTTTAAATTTTTGGTAGAGACAGGGTCTCGCTGTGTTGCCCAGTCTGGGCTCAAACTCCTGTCCTCAAGCAGTCCTCCTGCCTTCGCCTGTCAGAGTGCTGGGATTGTAGGCATGAGCCAGTACACCTGGCCCCTCATGCTACCTTCCAACTCCTTCAGCTAGTATTTACCGAGCCTCTGCTCTGGGTCAGGCACTCTGCCCGGTCTGTAGAAGCAGGCAAGACAGAGAGGTTCAGGAGAAGATGGTAGGCACCTGGGGTAGAAAGTACAACTGCATGAATCTCATTGATTCTAAAATGTGCATTTTTTTTCATATTTTAACATACCCAGAAATTGGGTTGCATTTTATAATGGGTTCTTATTCTGGATTCCTCTAGAGAAGATTTACTTCTGTTTCTGCCATCACTTGGGCACATTTCTAATCCAAGGCCAGTCTGTTTGAGGCTGTCCCCTTCCTCATCTCCAGCAGTGTGAATTCAGACAGTAACCCTGTAAGACTATAAAGCCTGAGGTTCAGACTCAAGAGGAATCTCGGTCAGGGCTGGGTGCATGCAGGCTGCTTTCCTTTGCTGTCCTTTTCTGCATGGAGGGATTGTCTCTTGTTACCTGATAGTGGGGGTGCTGCTCTTTCAGATCCCGCTTTGAGTAGAAGTCTGATATTGGAGTTCTTATCCAGGGTTTTTCTTTATCCTTAGAGATACATAAAACTGTGGTACTTGCTATAATTGATGACATTGTAGATTCAGTGAACTATAATAGTAATTTTTGGCAGCATTGAAGTATTCAGGCACCATAAGAAAATGGTCTGTGGAAGTGAGGTTTAAGCTATATTCCATGAACTCTAGGGCTGAGCTGGGAGCAGACTAGAGGCACAGCCAGTCCCAGCTCCCCCTCGCTTAGGAGCCAACACATCTCTGCTCTTGTTTGTGTATTGAGTTCCTTGAAGGATTTCATTTGGAAAAAACAAAACAAATTTCTGGCCTATAAAGGAAGGATATAGGTGGGGCGGCACCTTTGGCTCAAAAGGGTAGGGCACCGGTCCCGTATGCCGGAGCTGGTGGGTTCAAACCCAGCCCCAGCCAAAAACTGCAAAAAAAAAAAGGGATATAGGACCATTGTTCTATGAACATGAACTAGTCTCTACTTGGATAGCTAGGAAGAAACAAAGATATTTGCAACATTTTAATTTCACGCCCCCCTCATCCCCCCACCAAAAAAAAAAATAGAACTGAGAGTCTGGAAACCCACAATCTGGTTCAAGCTCAGCCATGGGACCTGTGTGTCTTTAACATAGTCCCCACCTCCACCCACCTACCCCGTCCCAGCTTCATCTCTAAAGAAATTACATGTAGTAGTTATTGATTCTTGTAACAGCCTGAAACCCCACTACTAATTTCTAGCACCTGTTACACAGTAGGTGTTTATAAATGTTTGTAGTGGTGGTTGAACTGAAACTCCACCCTGAATTATGGAACTGTGACACTTACCTTCCAACCTGGTAAGTTTATACCCATACAACACAGAGCTGGCTCCGTGAAGACAAAAGTGGATTTTTTGACTTTAACGTAGCAGCTGTCATCTGCACAGCACCTGCTATGGCACAGGCTTCTGCCACAGAATCACAGAGTTATTTTCTTGTATTTCCCATAGGAATGTCAATGGCTTGGATCTAATTTTGCTTGACCTGTGTTTTTGTTACAGGGAAGCAGAAATGAGAAACAGTATCCTAGCCCAAGTTCTGGATCAGTCAGCCCGGGCCAGGTGTAAGCATCTTTGATTTTCTTTATTTCCATAAAACTGGCTTGAATTAGTCCAATGGGGAGATACGTGTGAAGTTATTGCTGTCTCTAGATTAAATATTTACTAAAACACATTTGCGATTCTAAGTATTGTTAAGTTTACGAAGCTGGAGAACACATCACTGTTAGCAGTACCAGCTTGTTTCTGTCTTACTGAAGAGATGTTCTCCAAGCGCAGAGTAGATAAAATTTACCAGAAACAATTCTGAGTCACTCGTAAGATGTTGCTGGTATTTGATGTGGGTGATGAGGATTTAAGGGCACATGGTGTGTATTCTCTGTTTTAGTGTATGTTTGGGGTTTCATAAACTATAGAAAGAAAAAATGAGCCAATCAGAATGAACTCTGATCTTCTGTGTTACAACTCTGAGCCCACCTTGGGTTTAGAAGAGTCAGCCACAGAGCGCACCGCCACTGTGTATGTACAATAAGTAAATTGCAATCATATACTTTAAAAACCAGAAGGCATGGGGCTTACAGTCAGAGGGCGCAAGTTTAATATTGACTGTACCTCTACTGCTGTGTGGCCTTGACTGACTCATGGTCTGGCTGAACTTCAGTTTTCTCGTTTTGGGGAGGGGTAACAACACCGCCTGCCCTGCTTCACTGGTTGAGAAACAGTGCCAGTGTACAGTTGTAAGGTGTAATATTTACAAGTGGCATTTAGCTTTGACACCTTTTTGCATATGTTTTTTCTTTTAGTAAGTAACTTAGCACTTGTAAAGCCTGAAAAAACAAAAGCAGTAGAGAATTACCTTATACAGATGGCAAGATACGGACAACTGAGCGGGAAGGTAAGCGTGCACTGTGCTCCTGACTTGATCAAAAGGTGGCTCCAGAGGGCCAGTTCGTCTGAAGAGGAGGATGGCTGTGCCTGATGTGACAGGTCAGAGCCTTTCGTGAAATGCTCGGCCCTGGCCTCCCTGACCCTGCCGTGGAACCTCGCTGTGTCGGTGTGACCCACTGACTGCTGGAGTCAGTTTGCTTAAACTGCTCTTCAGCTGGAAGCAGTTTGTCAGTAATAGCAACTGAAATACTACCAATGTAGATAGAAGTTAGGCTCATTCCACAGATGAGACAGTGCTGAAATCCTCAAGTTGTTAGGTATGTTATGTTAACGCTATGAGGCATATATTCTGGCAGGCCCAACTTTTGAGAGCCAGACCAAGCCAGATGCTGTGGCTTATACCTGTAATCCCAGCACTTTGGGAGGCTGAGATAGGAGGAGCACTTGAGGCCAAGAGTTCGAGACCAGCCTGGGCAACATAGTAAGAGCCCTTCTTTATAAACTTTCGAAAGCCAGCCATGGTGGTGAGCACTGTCAGTCCTAGCTGCCTAGGAGGGCGTGGCAGGAGGGCTGCTCCAGGCCAGGAGCTAAGTCTGCAGGGACCTGTGATCATGCTTTGTGCTCTAGCCTTGGCGACAGAACCCAAAGCCCTCTGTCACCTCCATAGCTTCCCCAGTCAGTCCTGTCCCCGACAGCCCTCATGTTAAGAGCCACTTGTGTGGGGGAGAGACAGCCAGTTGATGTTGTCACACATAAGTGAGATGGTGTGTCTCTGACACTCACCATAGCAGTGGCGTGCGTGGTTAGCACTGCCTTCCAACGGGGATGAAGGTGATCTTAAAGGTCTGTTAACGCCCCCACACCCTGGAAAGATGGTTCAGGCTGAAGTAAACTCTTTAAGAAAGTATCGTTTCGCTTTTGGTTCTCCTAGGTATCAGAACAAGGTCTAATAGAAATCCTTGAAAAAGTAAGCCAGCAAACAGAGAAGAAAACCACAGTTAAAGTAAGTGTTCCCAGACGTACACGTAAACAAAAAGATTAGCCCTGTAAATGTCGGTTGTTGACTCTCTACCTTACTAAAGTGTCTTTCAGCCCATAGACGTTTGTGTTTTGTAACATGAAGAGTGGTCTAATTTTTAAGGTCTTGACTCCTACCCTTTTAGCTGCCTGTAATCCTAGCACTTTCAGAGGCCAAGGCAGGAGGATCAACTTGAGCTCAGTTCAAGACCAGCTCGAGCAACATAGAGAGACCCATCCCTGTTTTCTAAAAATAGAAAAATTAGCCACAGCCAGGCACTGTGGTGGGGGCCTGTAGTCCCAGCTACTTGGGAGGCTGAGGTGGGAGGATCGCTTCAACCCAGGAGTTTGAGGTTGCTGTGAGTTATGATGCCAGGGAACTCTACAGAGTGAAACTCTGACTCAAAATAAAACTCTTGCAAAAACAGGAAGAGCTTTTTCTCCTTAAGACAGTCTGAGTTATGCTTTATTATGTTATGACACTTGTTTAATTTTCCCCCCTAGTTTAACAGAAGAAAAGTAATGGACTCTGATGAAGATGATGATTATTGACCGAAACGTGTTTAGAGAATGGAACTTAATGGAACAAATTCTAGGATAGAAGTTAAGATCTGACTAAATATTTCCTTTGTTTATTATCTATATGCCTTTAAAAAATAAACTTGTTATGCAAAACAAAACCATTTGGCTAAGTTGTTTTCCTGCCATGACCAGCTGACCAAAAGACAGGCACGTTTGGATTTTTCCCTCCTACCAAAAGCTTTTAACATACACAGCAGCGCGGATACATCCTTTGCGATTGACATTAGAATGAGGCACAGAAAATGTACTTAGCAGAAACAGAAAGAGTTCAAGCACTTTTTAGTAAGAAAATAGAGCATTTGCAGCCAGTAACATAGTGGGAATTAAAATTTAGGCATTAAACTGAATCATCTTTTAACATCTGAGCAAATCTTAACTTTTTAAGACATAATTTCTAAAGCAGGTGAACTGTTTTCTTCCTGCAGATAGCACTTCCATTAATGTAAGGTGGATCCCAGCTTTGATTTCAAGGGTGTTGAAATGAAATTACCTAACAAATATCATTCCCATGAAAACAACCAGAGTGACAGTGCCACTGAATAAAATGACCACAATCATTAGGACATACTAGTAGTACTTCGGCAATAATAAGCATGTCTGTAAGGGAAGACTTCTGATTAAAATCCAGGTGAGACGGTTCAGGAGTTAAATGTTAATGGTTCTCCACTGATGGGGTCACAGGTGGCTCAAAGCACCTGCCACCTCAGGTCGTGCTTTACCTCCAGTAGGTCGGGAAACCTTCACTCAGATGCTTTTTTTGTTGTTGGGGCACAGAGTGCAGTGGCAGCGTCACAGCTCCCTGCAGCCTGCATCCTGCTGCCTCAGCCTCCGACTCACTTGGCTGTGCTGTGTTGCCCAGGCTGGCCTCAAATTCCTGGACGCAGTGTTTCCCCCGCCTCAGCCTCCCAAGCAGTGAGGATGACTGGCGTGTGCCACAACACCCAGCACTGCTTCAGTTGGTGTGACCTATGAGACCCGGCTCGGGAGTAAGTTCCTAACATTTTATAAGAAACTGGATTAGCAGGAGGAAAGTGATGGGAAATGTGGTTTACGGATCCCAGGCTCCGCTTCAGTCAATACACGTTTAAACTATGAGATGTGAAACTATAGCCAATGAAAAAGTCAGTGTTGGAGTAAGTGTGTTGTAACCTTCTAAAGTTTGTAAACCAATGAGTAGAACCATGTCTTTAAAGGAACAGAATGATACGAACAGTCAAAATCTGACCGGAAGTTCGCTGGGTGGGGGGGGACCCAGTTGCAGGTAAACTTTGCCTTTGGCCTCACAAAAATTCTGGGGAGACAATAGACAATTCTCACTGAATTGTGTTACACGCTTTTTCTTGCTGAATACTGTCCGAACGGCAATAACGGATACGAATGTGTTTAAAGATTGTCACGCTGTTGTCTTTCAAAGACAAAAAATGGTTCTGTATAAAAAGATACAGGAATATACTTCAATTTAGAGAACGGGGAGTGGTTATTCTAAACTTGAAATCTTTATTCTAAATTTAAATCAATGAACTTTGATTCAAAAACTTCTTCACAAAATGGGAATTTAGGCATTAACAATTTCTAAATTGTCAAATTCCATTTTTTGTTTAAGTAGGCTAAGGAACTGGGTGTTCTTAAAAATAATTGCAGCATAGGTGGTGCCTAAGGCTCAAAGGAGTAGGGCACCGGCAACATATGCCGGAGGTGGTGGGTTCAAACCCAACCCCGGCCAAAAATTGCAAAAAAAAAAAATAATAATTGAGGCAGTCACTTAAGATGGATGCTGCTGCCCAGTATGGAGGCTCACACCTATGACCCCAGCACTCTAGGGGGCTCACACCTGTGACCCCAGCACTCTGGGAGGCTCTCACCTGTGACCCCAGCACTCTGGGAGGCTCTCACCTATGACCCCAGCACTCTGGGAGGCTCTCACCTATGACCCCAGTACTCTAGGGGGCTCTCACCTGTGACCCCAGCACTCAGGGAGGCTCTCACCTGTGACCCCAGCACTCTGGGGGGCTCTCACCTGTGACCCCAGCACTCTG